ATTAACAGCAAAGAAAGCCTTGACGGAAAATTTGTTAGCTAGAGGTGAATCTATTAATGTTGATATAGCTAATAAGCGTTAACTTCGATAAACCTTTTTCCGATTTTCATTACTCAGAAACTAAACTTATCTACCAAAACATAGAGTTTAATAAAAACAGCTAACACGAACCTTTAGGCGCCATTGCTAACAGAAGCTACTCCAATAAGCTATCAACTGAAAATCAGAAAAACGGATAGGTTAGGCCTAGAAAATTATGATGATAAGAAGCAAACAAAATAGAAGATAGATCTAGATGTCATTAACATTGAGACTCCGGATGTAATTTACAACCCTAGAAACCAAATCGAAACGAGAAACAGAAAGAGCAGACGCATACCCTGCAAAACGGTGACGAACAGAGTTACGCGCGGCAGCAACTAGGGTTTTGGTTTATGATGAAACGAGATTTATAGTAAACGAAAAAGATGTCATATAAATGGGCCAGACCCTTTCCATATGTCTCCTTTCATATAGCTCTAAGCCCAACTATCTATCCAATAAAACCATCCTATTTTTTTTCTCTTTTTTATGGTTTTTTAGCTTGTTTTTTTTCTTTTTTTTTAAATGTATTATAATATAATAAAAACTAGTCACCTTTAATATAACATATACAAATGCTTTTAAACAATGACATAGTCAAGATATATATGAAAAAAAAGGGAGAAAAAGGATAATTATGATTAAAATCTGAGATGTCATATTATTGGATGATAATTTTTCCATATCATAAACTAATCATAGATTTTGAAAAATGGTATGTATGGTTTTTTATTTTACTTTTAAATTTTAAGAAAGTCTTTTTCAACTATTTAACCGAAGGAAATCTATTCATTTACAGTCAAACTTTTATGTGATGTGGAGGGGGGTTAATTTGCAAAAGTAACAATTATTGTGCAAAACAACTACCAAGTGAAATGATTTTAGATATAATTTGACAAATGTTTGACAAAAAACATTTTGCACAATTGGTACTTATTGAATGATAATTGCTAAAAAAATGTTCAATTATTGATATTATAACATGGATTTGTCAGCTTAGTACAATTGTTATACATTAGCAATTGTTATACATTAGCATTTGCGGTAAAGATTTGGGATTGTGAAATGAGTATCACTTAAATTATGTTCAATTAATCTATTTCACAGAGTAAAGGTCATGAGAAAAACATAGTGTACATGCGCGGAGCATGGGACAACTATTGTTTTTTAATTCAAGTATAAAGTTGATAGTTTGAAACAGTATGCAATGAATGATGGGTAATCAATATGGTGATAAATAAAAGATGTTTTATTTATATTCATAAGTTCTGAGACCATATTGGATTCGATTATTCTCTTGTTTCACTTTGCATGTTTTGACTTCCAGAATAACTAAGTCACTCTTCATGAATGACTAAGGTATTTAAATCATCACAGTCGGTCATATGTTAGAAGTATATATGAATCAAGACTGTTATGGGTTGGCTTGTAAAGGTCTAAGATGCTGGACAAAGTGGTGTTACAACACTCATGAGTGCTCATAAGTTTTGAGTATTGGATTCAACCAATGCTCACTGGTATCACCTCATGGAATTTATCTCGAGTGATCGTGAGACCGTAATATCATATAAGTCTTCAAACCTAGAGATATGACTTGTTGCCTATGAGTTGGTTATACATTGATCGTACGAAAACGCATTGGTAACTCGATGTTATAAAATGTACCTTTGTGCATAATTCAACAAGTAGAAGAACAAGTATATGAGTCGAAGTTTATCTGTTCCTTCTTGGATTAGAAGCGATATATGGTCCCCTCGATGATTTTGTGTTGACCCATGTACCGGGCCCGATCAGAACTAAGTTGATCTGTTCACTTAAGTTCTATGTCAAAAAAATCGGAAATCGAGAAATAAACTACTGGACAATAAGTAAGACATTATTCCATGTATTTGTCCGACTGATATCTAAAACAGAGGATTATATGATCACTTATCTTAAATGGAATATCATCGTCATCTGAGTTCTGCGAGACCTTGAAAGAGCTATGATTGCTGATCAGTTCCTGAAGTTATTCTTGCAAATATAGTTATTAGACTTATCCAAGTGGGAGACTGTTGGATTAAGTGTTTAAGTTCATAACTATTTTGGGATATACTTGACCCGATCAGCATGGTCCATTTGGGTTGCATGGCATCATGCATTTGGATAGACTAAAATGAGAGAAATAACACTTGTGATTTATTAATATATTATAAGTTCTAATATTTTAATAGGATTATTTAATTAGTATTGATCAAGAATTAATTTGGAATTAATTAAGTGATCAAAAGAAAACTAATTAAATATATGGGTTGATTGTGTAAATCATCCATACTTGTATAGTGGGCTTATGCTCCATGGATTATGAAGTTGGGCTAAAATGCATAGGATGCTCCATGGTGTCTTTGAACCCATGGATCACGGAAAATGAAGAGCCATGTCAAATTAGGGTTTACATGGTGTAACCCATGGCAGGCAGTTAAGACCACGTGGGGGTTCCAGTGGCACTAGGTGTAAGACCCTGGAGGGTTTCCATGGATTCCTTATATGTTGTATGGATGACTTACGTGATATGTGGAGGTTATAGCTAATATGTTATGTGTTATGTGATTGTGTGTGGGTATGCTATGGGGACTCACTAAGCATTACCTTACAGTTTGTGGATTTGTTTCAGGTACTTCTGAGCCCAAGGGCGAGTGCAAGGCTTGATGTCGAGACGTGCACTCTCTCATAAATTTTTATGGGACACTGATGTTTTGAAATAAAATTGTAATTAATATGATCTTTGAAAACAATTGTATTTGGATTTCATGATTTATGAAATGTGTTTTGGCTAATCAAAAATGAAAATTTTCTTTTAAAAAATTAGGTCGTTAATCGATGCTTTCAGTCGCAAGGTGGCAAGTTCCCCGATTGGGAACGTTTGTTTGAGGATGACGTTGATCTCACCACTGTTGGATATGATCAAGGAGGCCCAAGTCGAGGGTGTGAAGAAGGAGAATTGGAAGATAGAGTGGATTCGGGGGCAGTATCCTTTATTTGTTAAGGATAGTTGTGGCCTTCTAACAGAGTGTGGTCGGGTATGGGTACCAGTGACTGGAGGAGTGAGGAAGAAAATATTGGAGGAGGCCCACAAGTCCAAGTTCTCTATACGTCCAGGGGCTACAAAAATGTATAGAGATTTGAGATTGAGTTACTGGTGGCCTTGCATGAAGTGGGAGATCGCCTGGTTTGTGGAGCGGTGATTGACCTGCAGGAAGGTCAAGGCTAAACATCAACGACCTCATGGCAAGGTTCAGCCGCTACCCATTCCCATGTGGAAGTGGAAAAAGATCACAATGGACTTCATTACGAGGTTACCGAGGACGGAGAGGGGTGTGGAAGCCATATGGGTGATCGTAGACAGATTGACGAAGAGTGCCCACTTTATTCTGATCTTTGAGAGTATATCCGCTAAGAAGTTGGCGGATATTTATATGTGAGAAGTGGTGGCTAGACACAGGGTGCCAGTGTCGGTAGTCTTTGGCAGGGATGTTCGGTTTACATCTAGGTTTTGTAAGAAGTTCCACGAGGAACTGGGTACTCAACTGCATTTTAGTACGACATACCACCCCCTAACAGATGGCCAAAGTGAGAGAACGATCTAGAGATTCGAGGATACATTGCGGGCATGTGTGTTGGATTTTGGAGGCTATCAACTGAAAATCAGAGAAACAGATATGTTAGGCCTAGGAAAACATGATGATGAAAAGCAAACAAAATAGAAGACAAATTTGGATGTCATTAACATTGAGACCCCGGATTTAATTTAGAACCCTAGAAACCAAATCGAAACAAGAAACAGAAAGAGCAAACGCATACCCTGTAAAAACGGTGACAAACAGAGTTATGTGCGGTAAAAACTAGGGTTTTGGTTTATCATGAGATGAGATTTATAGTAAACGAAAAAGATATCATATAAATGGGTCAGACCCATTCCGTATGTCTCCTTTCATCTAGCTCTAAGCCCAACTATCTAGCCCAATAAACCCTTGCTATTTTTTCTCTTTTTTTATGGGTTTTTAGCTTGTTCTTTTTATTTTCTTTTTTTAAATATATTATAATATAATAAAAACTAGTTACCTCTAATATAATAGATACAAATGCTTTTAACCAATGACATAATCAAAATATATATGAAAAAGAGGGGAAAAAAGGATCATTATGATTAAAATCTGAGATATAATATTATTGGATGATAATTTTTCCAGTATCACGAACTAATCACAAATTTTGCAAAACGGTTTGTATGATTTTTTATTTTACTTTTAAATTTTAAAAAGGTACTTTTCAACTATTTAAGTGATGGAAATCTATTCATTTACGACCAAACTTTTATGTGGTGTGGAAGGGGGTTAATTTGCGAAAGTACCAATTATTGTGCAAAACAACTACCAAGTGAAATGATTTTAGATATAATTTGACAAAGGTTTGACAAAAATCATTTTGCACGATTGGTGCTTAATGAATGATAATTGCTTAAAAACCGTTCAATTGTTGATATTATAATATGGATTTGTCATTTTAGTAATCTCCTCCACCCCCAATAAAAAAGTTATACATTAGCAATTATGTACCTAGGACAATCTTTACACCAAATTTACTTGGTAACTTTTTTGCTAAACATTGAACGAGTTGAAAATGACATTAACTAAATAGCACATATTAACTGCATAACAAATAACTGTCATACTAAACCCAAACACATGGTAAAATTAAACCACAAACTCTTATAATACCTAAATAAAAAATAAAATCTTTCCCCACTAACAAAGAACAAAATCAAGACTTTGTATATGAACCATACTCTTTTCTAAAAATGACTTCTGTAAATATATATTTATTAAATAAACACAATCTTAGCACGTCCCTCCTCTATTTCTTCTAGAAGAGACCACAATTCAACCATCAGCATCAACCATTGGTGTGGGTCCCCTCCCTGGTTCATCAACACTCAAATGGTCAACTCCATCTTCCATATCCATTGGCACATCCCCTGAACTTGAGGATGAATCAGATTCCTCATCATTATCATCATCATCATCACCAGTCACAACCTAACATATTACAAGAGCAAATGAGAGATATTACAAAAAACATATTTAAATAATCAAATAACTAATGAAATATCTTGAAAAAAGGGAAGAGTAATGATAAAATGAACAAATGAGTACCTGCATGCGATGATTAGCAGCTTGAGAAGCAGATTGCCTTAGTCTTTCAATTGAGGCAAAATTACCTTCCAAACATTCTTCATGTATGATCATTAGATTCTCTGATATCTAATTACAAAAAAAAAAAAAGAAATATGATAAGGGAAAATACCTAAATGACTGTTAAAGAGGTCTGAAAAATATTGTTAAAAGGATGTTCATTCTTGCCTACTTTTTTTTTCTCAACCATTAAAGTATAACATCAATGAAAAAGAAATGGGAAAAAAAAAAAAAGATTACCTCCTCAATGCTACCATCCTCGATCTCTGTATTAAGAGAGAGCATAAAATCATCAAGTAAATTCTCCAAATCATCTACATATAATGCCTCTGAAAAACATACCAAAGAAAGTATGCTTAAAAAAGTAGGAAAATCATAATCATAATCACTTTAAACACACATTCAAAATTGACTTTGTATTTGATAAATCTTAATCAAGGAAATAGAAACCAATTAATCCTCAAGAAATTACCAAATGTGATATACCAATTACATACATCAGAGCAGAAGTAAATTTTGAAGCAAAACAGAAATGTAGTAGATACCAGCAGGTCTGATTAGCCAGTGATAGATATCAAGAGCAAGTTGTTGGGCTTTCTGTCGAGTTTCACATCCACCCCATTCATTTTGAATAGCCATATGAAGTGCACTCCATCGACCAAGAAGCAGATCGATACCTTCTCTAAGTTCATTAACAGCCTCAACTGTGAGATGAACAGGCACCACCATTGCAAATTCCCCTACAAAAGCCCAACCACCGTTATGCTCCCGACATTTTCAAGTAAACTTCGTATTCGAATTAAAAGAAAACGAATGAATTATAGCACGAAATAGCTTGAACTACCATAAAACAATATATTCCTCGAGAAATATATGCAATGTTTTGAAATTTTAGCTAGAATATACGAACAGATTCGACAAAACAAATGATGATTTACCGATCACTAGCAAGCGGATTTTAAGGTCTTCACTAGAGGAATAATCCAAGAAGAAGATGGCACCGACGGCTGCTATGGCGTTTGTAGTGAAAGGGGGTTTTCAAGAATTATTTTCTAAAGGGAAATAAAAAGTAGGCGCAACCAAAGGCCAAAGGGCAAAAGAAAGAAGCGTCGAGCCCGTTGGCAGTTTAGCCCAATAGACTAAATTAGATGTTTGGTCACGGACGTTTTTTTAATATAACACACTTGGTCCAATGTTTCCAATTGTTATAGAAATGATTTTTATTTCAAACTAAATAAATAGGATTTACCCCTCCCACTAACACATGGTTATTTCTTATTACCAAGAACCCTCATGTGCCATGTATATCATGGTAGTTTCCTTTTTGCCACTTACATGCCATTTCCCTCTCGAAAATTGAAAACATAAATGTCCCCTACAACAACATTTGTCCAAATCTAAAAACTCATGCAAAACCAAAATCACATACAAACTTTCGTTTTTAACACAAATCCAAATTGAAATCTACAAAAGAAGAAAAGCATTATTACAATGTTCTTGAATCTTGACTAAAACCAAGAAATTGAATCTTCATGCTACCAAACCTAGAAATTGAAACTTGGTTAACATTATAAACCCAAACCATACATATAATTGTTTATATATAAACAAGCACATAATGGCCTATAATTAAACTGTATGCTTAACTGTCTATACAAAACAATGTTTAAAATAACATAAGTGAATCATACTCACAATTTTCTATAAATGAACCTTTAATACAAAAGCAATTCTTTTGAACCTCCTATTATGTATTACCAAAAATGGTTGTTGTACATTCATAAGTAATAAACATCAAAGCACAAATAACACTATTCATTACAACCAAACGACGAGTCTTAGTTTACCATTCCTAAGATAAACATCCTTTTCTGAAAATTACATTATCATATCTTACGAGAAAACATTAACAATTCATTACAACAACTATGATTATTTACCATTCATAAGAAACACTAAAACAAACAAAAAATAAGATGCACCTATGAAAATACATAAACCAAAAACTACCTCCTCCAAAAGCTCTCTTAGTTTATTAAGTGTCTTTTCATCACAACTTTTCAAATTTTGTAGCCTTACCACCTTCACAATGACTATCACACCTGACTATCCTTCATCATCAAATTGCACTTCTCAACGATAATGCACTTCTCCACTAGGAATATATAGGTGCTTCTTAGACGATGGCAACATATGTAAAAGATTAGTCTTTGATATATTTTCACCCCAGTTGTCATCGAACCAAGAAGTATAAACAAATTCCTAACATTATGTTACCATTGCTATCTCCTCCACCACCCACCTTGATTCAACCACTTTTTGCCAATTGTTTTTTTTCCGTTTATAAGCCATATTTCAAATTGTGGTCATGTCATATGTAAGAATCGAGCAATAAAACTTGATTACGTACAAACTAAGTGTACTCGCCCACTGAACCACCTATTTCCACCCCCAATAAATTGGGAATATTGATGTCACACCATCTACTAACAAACTTCCACAACTTAGAAGCAACTTTTCAAGTAATTAGTAAATGTGAAATATCTTCCATATCCGAGTTACAAACACCACACACACTGACGACACATCCATACCTCTTGCATCAAGATTGATTTGAGTAGGAAGACGATTCAAACGACATTGCCAAAAAACTATATTCACCATTATAGGAAGATATCTGTTCCAACTAGTCTCTATCATACCATTAGGAAGAGAATTATCTTCAATCAGTCTTCTAGTATCTGAAACACAAAACTCATCATGGTTACCTATATTCCAAACCCACCGATCACTAGATGTCAATATGATGAAGTCTTGGATCAAGTCTGGGAGTTGATGTCACACCCACCTAAACCAGATGGCGGAAACGTCTGAGGGTGGAACGAAAACACAATATCACAATAATTGTATACATTGAAACACAAGTACATAAACAACCATCACACCATATGATTATATCAATTATAGGACCTAAATGTTAATTTTAATCAAAATACATTACAAGATTTACAACGGGTGCCACTGGAACCCCCCACGTGGTCTTAGCCCACTACCATGGGAACCCCCACATTGTCTCAACTACCTACCATGGGAACCCCCACATGGTCTTTACTTACTGTCATGGGAACCCCCCATATGGTCTTCCTTAGCTGCCATGGGAACCCCCACATGGTCTTAGCTAACCACAAGAATGTCATACAAACTAAACATGCAAACATACTAGGATGCCATGGAAACCCTCCAAGGTCTTACATTGAGTGCCATGGGAACCCCCGCATTGTCTTAGTCCACTGCCATGAGACCCCGCATGGTATTCACATAAATACCTAACACATCGATAACACACATGCAATAAACATTCCAACTAAATAACATGGGTCGGACTTGGTGCCTTCAACCCATTGGTATGGTGAGGAGACTCACCTCACACTGCCGAAGTCCTGCGGATAAAACTCTAGTTGTTGGATAACAGACTCCCAAACTGTACATATCAAAACAACACCCAATTAACCATTTGGGTTTCAATGCATAACCATAAATCCACACTTGGGGTAAAAGGACCATTTTACCCCTAATCTAGCTTGGTTCAAAACCAAATCCCCAACTCACACTCTGAAGGCCCAAAAGCCAAATAATCAACCAAGGCCCAACATATGGCCCAATTTTCCAAATTGAGCCCAAAGCTCTACATGGTCTTACCTTAAGGCCCAACCATTAATTCTAGTCCAAACACTTGGCATTCCGATGGTCTAATATCTCATAGTCATCAAGGCACAAATATGGCCTAATTTTCCAAATTGGGCCTAAGCCTTTCCAATAGGCCTTATCCTAAAGCCCAAAAATTCCTTAGTCCATAAACTTGTTCCCAATTGGCCTATGAAGGCCCACAACAACTTAGTTTAAGAAATGGCCCAACCCGAGGCCCACAAACACGAAATCTAATCTGACTGAGTACGCAAGGCGTACTCAGCTGTACGCTGCACGTACTTACTTAACGACTTGGATGTTTCACGTAATGGCTTGTACGCCCAATGTATTTCCCTCTTAATCCGACTTTTTCCATTAAGCACTTAATGCTTAAACCCTAAGTCCAAACCACAGATCTGACTCCCAAATAATGTCTAAACCCATAAAGTCATTGACTTGGTGACTTTGCATGCCCCAAAAAGACCAAATAGAATTCTACTTTCATGGAAATGGCTCAAACTCCAACATAGATGGTCTTAAACTCTAAAGGTGATAACTTTATGGACCTTGAACCTCAGAAACACTAAAAGGGGCAACTCAAAGCTCCTGGAATGAAATCAAGACCACTAGATCTCATACTTAGGACCAAAATGAACCAAAACCCATAAATGATAGATCTAAGACATTAATGATCAATTTCAAAGCTTTATACCTTCATCAAGCTGAAAATGAGTCACAAAAGCCAGATCCATAAGCTTCTCCTTGATCCTCATATTTGCATCAAACTCCAACTTCTTGAAAATGGATCATACACACCAACAATGGATAAGCTTAGAATGCCACCATGAATGATTAAGGACGATTTCTAGGGTTTTAGAGGGTGGGGGCTGCTTAAAATGAAAAAGGAGGCTTAACATTATGCTTATATAGGGTACAACCCTAAGATTATGGTTTTCAATATGACCCTCGTAAGCCTCACGTACGAGGCCGTGCACCCCGACCCAACCTCGCATATATGTTACGCGTTCCTCCCATCTACACCCCGCGTAGTTCCTTCTCTTCGGTTCGCCCTGTGTACCACCTTGGTACGCCATGCGTACTAGGGCTTTTCCCAAAACCTTAATTCTCTCGAAGACCCTAACTCACTCGATACAACTCTGATTCCAACCATTCATATATCCATAGAAAAGTATCGAGACACTCAACACTATTATCAATTCCTGCCTGCCATAAAATATTCCGAACTAAAATCCACTTCCCATAAAAACTCGAGCTGACAAATTACCAAAATACCCTTTTTCCATAAAAACTAAAACTGAATACTCTAGAAACCAAGATACATTATTCAACTCCAACTGGGTCCAAAACTCAAACCCTCGAGGTTCCGAAGCCTGATAATACCCAACCCTTTAATCACTAATTCAAAATGGGAACAATTCGAAACAGGATGCTACAATGTGCCTACTTGATCCTGATTATTTCTATGTCGACATACGATGTTTGGTTTGGGTTGAGGCGGTCATGCTTTGTGCGGTAGGACAAGATACCCGGTACAAGCCGGCTGTAAGCCGTAAGCACGGAGGCTCGGGAGGAGCGGTATGGTTGAGGCAATAGGGCAACAAATTCTGGTTATTCTAGCCTGATGGTTGATTAGACCTTTTGTATATTGGCATTTCAACCTGGGGTATTCCATCCCGAGGATGACTAGACCCGGTGGTTGACTGGGCCTGAGGTATTCAAACCCGATACTTGACTGGACCCGACATGTTTGATTGTATATGTGATCTGTTTATATGGTGATATTTTTGGGGAAACTCACTAAACTTTATTCTTACCCAGTTTTGTTGTTTCAGGGATCATCAGTGATTACGGGAAGACAAAGGCGAGACTATACACACTCATCAGCAACTTTAAAGATTCCGCATTTCCTATAATACTCTGGCATTAATACATGTAATTTTGAATAAATGGTTTTTTTTAAATATAGGATTAATAAATTGTGATTTTTACCATAATAATAAAAATTGTTGTGAAAATGGGACGTTACATTTTGAGTTGAGAGGGTTGTATGAACAAGTGATGAAGATTGAAATGAAGAACTTTGAAGAGTGATGGTGGTGGTGCAAATTCTTGGCCAAGAACAAAAAAATGAAGGGAAAGTGAAAGAGTTTTGGATTGTGTAATCTTGAATGGTGAAGAGAATAAGTGGAGATAGAGGGATATTTATAGGGCAAAAATCTCCTAGGATGGTGAGTGGCTTGCATGGGGAAGGGGCATGGTAAACCATTTCCATTTGTTTATTCAAGTTAAGGCTTTTTATTATAAAAATCAAGGTTTGACTTCTTGATTATTTTAATATAAGGAGATCATGATGATGCTGGGAAGATATGAAATCGTTGGGAGAGAGGGGGCAATATTTGTCTCTTATTAGTCTTATAAAAACTAGACTTTTTTAAAAAGTTTGGTATCCTCTCTAATAAATGAAAATTATTTTGCCACATGTCATTCTCTCATACATTATAGCACATGTCATTTTATCATAATTTTGAGATATTTATTTTCCACTTGTAATTTATTTCATTTTTCATTTTTCAGTATATCATTAATTTAGTTTCTATAAATTAAACATATCATAATGACTATACTAATCTCAAATTTCAAATTTCAAATTTCAAACTTCAATTTTAATTTTATGTAAATTTACAGTTTAAACATTTGTATTTAACATTTTGTTATAAATAAAAACACGGCTCTGACAACTAAACATATATTTTTAATTTATTTTTTTACATGTTTTTTTTTCTCATAATTTTTACTTATTTCAAATTTCAAATTTAAATAAACTTCTTATTTAATTATTCGTATTTAACATTTTGTTTTAATCACCCCGTATAACATACGGGTCTTACATCTAGTTTTTATAAAAGTGTTGTGTAAATTGAGTAAATTGTAAGGTATAATAACCACTAAAAATCATGTTATTTAATATTATTACTAATAATATTAAAACCTTATAATTTAACTGTTTTCTCAATCAGTTGTATAAAATATGAGCGTTAAAACGCGATAACTTTCGCTTTCTCGATGTATGATCTTTTATCCAGAAAAAAATTAGCGGAGTATAAAACTAAATACTAGGTCGTATTATGTTCCATACATTTACAGATTTGTGAACATGTATACATTGTGTTATGAGTATTATTTATACCAAAATAATATTTATGTGATTTATCGAATTTATATGCTACTATAGGCTATTATTTAGAATTAAAGCATTTACTCAATAATTGAGTCAAAAATGCGTATGTAGTATTATAATCATCTCTAATAAATGAAGGTTTTTTTGCCACTTGTCATACTCTCATTCAATTTGCCAAATGTCATTTTATTGTTATTTTGAATTAATTTTTTTTCCAGATATCATTTTATGATTTTTTCTATTTTTTTTTTTTAAATTCCACAAGGTCATTTACCGTAATAATTACAATAAATGTAATAATAAATACATATCAATTTTATTAACGGAGTTATTTTCTTATTTCAAAAATTCCAAATTAAAGCTTCTTAGTTTATTGTGTTTATTTATTTAAATTTAATAGATAAAAAAATCACTTTTAATAATTCATTGATTTTTTTTTATCTTCTTATAAATCCAAAATTGTTAAATATTTAAACATTTATATTTAATTTTTTAATTAACTCATGTAATACATGAATCTTACACCTAGTATCAAATAATACACTAAGGAAGTTACGAAATTTACATTTCACTATTTTAACCTAATTTACGCTTCAATTGACTTTATTGACCAAAATTGATAGATGTCATGTTGACTCAATTGAGAAAACAAAGTCCCTCCAAGAATGTGCTTACACCAAGACTAAGTACAAGTAAGCCAGTTCCACCTTTGATTAGTTCTACAATCTTTATCAATATCCAAAATGAATAATCGTAGGTATCTTACCATGAGAGATGAATTCCCAAGCAAAATATATTTCCAAAAATATGTGGAAGCCCCATCCCCCACCTTTCACTGAATAGCATCCCTAGTAATAGTACCAGAATCATGTAAATGATTAATGGTACTAAGAATACACGACCATACACTTGTTTTCATACCTGAATCAGCACTTCGCCCCTAAACCACCATCTCTACCATGTACACCTTTCAACACCTTGCATTATAAGGCTTCATTATTTTTAAGGAACCGTCATTTCCATTTAAATAACAACGATTTATGAAAAACATCTAAGGATCCATGTCTAATCCTCCTTTCTCTTTACTTATCATGACACAATCCCATTTCACCCAATGTAATTCTCTAACATCTTCCTCTTGGCCCTAAAAAAATCGAGCCCTCAATTTCTTCAAATAATTATTCCCCCCTGGCATTCGAAACAACATATAATAAATCCCAAGCAACCCCAACGCCACTTTCAAAAGCAAAGATCTACCGCCAACTGAAAGCATTTTTACTTTCCAGGAATTATATTTCTTATGAAACTTATCAAGAATAGTTTTCCATCCTAATAATCTTAAATATCATCGCCCCCAGAGGAAGGCCAAGATTAAAAAAAAAAAAACAAAAACAAAAACAGAAGTTCGGTAGCCTTGCAACGTGTTAAACTCGCAAATTGCTCCACGAATGATTAACATTAACTCTATAAATATTAGATTTTTGTAAGTTAACCCGAAGTCCAGAAAGCATGTAAAACAATGCAGAATGCCAACTAAATTGACGATGTTCTCCCGCTTCCAATCCCCAAGAAATATCGCATCATGAGCATAAAACAAATGCGTTAAACGAAAGCCATCAACTCTAACAGGGAAACCCTTGTAAAGATCTAGATCAACTGCATCCTCTTTGGCGACATGAAGTCCTTCCATAGACAATAAAAAAGGAATGAGACAATTGGTCACCTTGTCTTTGACCACGTTTAATATGAAATTCTTTAGTAGGGCTATCATTCAACAAGATAGAAGAATGAACATTTCCAAGACAACCTTGAATCAGATCACACCAATTCTTAGAGAATCCCATGCAACTCTTGATATGAAATAAATAGTACCGAGAAAGCAAATCATAGGCTTTCTCAAAATCAATTTTAAAACTCAATGAGTTTCTTTTTTCTTGACTTACACCAATCCCTAATCTCATTGACCATTAATGACCATGAAGCAAAGGATTTGTCACTTTCGGAATCAAAGTAACAAAAAAAGAATTGCATCCGGAAGGGATATATTTGGAGTCAAAGAATTGTAAAACAAACGCAAGGATGTCAGGTTGAAGAATACCTCATAAACATTTTACAGAGAAGAAGGTAAAACCATTAGGAACTGACACATTGTCACTCCCACACGCCAATACAGCCTCCCGGACCACCATATTGTCAAAAATCAAATTTCGAAAATTGTATTTTTTTTTTCAAAAATCACGGTATATTTGGAAACGAGGAGAACACACCAAATGAAACTAGCTAGTTCCAGGTTTTTTAGAATTAGTATATTAAATAAACAAAAGAGCACAAAATAGTCTAGCCGTAATCTTGAGAGAATCGCATTAGATAAGTTGGAATCAAGAACACGATATATTAATTATATTGAAAGAAAAAAAATATTTCCAAAGATTTAAAACGCAAACATGCATACTCAAACACAAGTTTACTAATTTTTATTTAGGCAACACAGGTGCCACTATTCTTAAGCCAAGAACACACTCGTAAGGACGTTCTTGCACAGCATTGAGGCCTTCAGCAACAACAAACCCCAAAAAGTATAAACATTACATATTAGTGATTAGACATAGAGTAATTGGCTTTTTATTCAACGAACTTGAAATTTTTTTACCATCAATTTCTTATAAATTTATACAAGTCATATTTTTTATTTTAATATTAATTGGAGAAAAATTTATGCATTTATTTACCAAAATGATTATACATATTGGTAAAGTTTAAATTAAATTAAACACGAACGCATGTACTGAGTTTTTGCATTAACAAACCATTAGCCAATAAACAAATTAAGTATTGAATCCATAAAAGTAGTATATTAAATAAAGCCAAACAATATATGATATACCTTTTTCATTTCCAAAGAAACCACCTTTTCCTCAAGACCACCAACTTCCTTCACATTAAACTTGTTCAACATAGTAAGGCTAGATATGGTGGACATTGGCTTCACCTCCAGATCATCCATTACCATGTAAGTCACCACCCCCTTCACAAAACCACCAGTCTCCACAGTCCCCGTCACCGAATTACTACCTTTCACATAAGCCACCTCGGTGCTCATTTTACTATTGCAGCTAGGACACACAGCTGTAGGATTATCTGTCACACAGGTATTATGACTAGGACATTTGTAAAACTTCCGAGCCTTAGGAACGAAATCAATAGGTGGCAATAATAGAGCCTCATTGGCCCCATAGTTCACAATATTGGGATTCAAAACAGAATCTTTGCTTTGGTTTGGTTGCATATACATATCGCTCAAGTTCTCAATGCTGTCGTAGAGATTTCCAAGTGAACCCACCATCGAGTTCTTGCTGAGAAGCCTGATCACAGTACCAACAGGGAGAGAAAGGATGTAGAAGAGGAAATCCACGAATTCTTTGTTGGCTTCTGCAAATAAAACTTGCTTTGTTTTGGAGTTGATCAGAAGCTTCAAGCTTACTTTTGATGATGATGAATCGTCTGCCATTTTTGTTTCTTTCAAGGGGATTTGCCTGCTAATTATGTGAGCATGTACAGATTAAATCTTTGCTTATAAACTTGTTTGATGAGTTATTAGGAATACGAATAGCAATCGTTTGATGTCCAAATTTATTGATCGTATTTATGAGATCTTTAGGAATATGAAAAGTAATCGTTTGATGTCAAAACTCATCTAGGTGATACAAGGTTTTGATAATACGAGTCTTATATATATATATATATATATATATATATATATATATATATATATATATATATATATATATATATATATATAAATTTTTAAGGACCTACTTTAAACATTTAAGGCTATAGTGTTATACCTTACCCACAGAGTTTTTGAATATGAATATAAATTTTTCTATAGAAAAATTATTGAGCAATGTGGTTTTCGATTTTGGATTCGACTCGCCACCGGTCAATATTTGTTTGGGTTGTCAATTTTTAAGTCACATTTAACAAGTGAAAATGTTAACACCTTAGAGAAGAGAATCCAAAATACTAAATATAAATACTTATAATATATTTTGAAATTGTTGAAAATTATGAAGGGTAATTGAAAGTTGGTAATTTCCTTCTATTTGATATTGGTGAGAGGAAGAAATTCTTGTAGGTTTATAAGCTTATTCACTTGATAAGCTTTCAAAGGCTTTAGTGTATCAAAAAGATGGGCCAAGATCATGTGTGGACCTAGCCTAGCCAGCCAATGTCTCGAATGCACTAAATGATGCGATTTAGGCTCACTTTGCACTTCGTTGGGAGCCAAGGAGCTTTTGTTATTGATGAGTTAGGGTCAACATAGGTCGACCGTTGTTGACTTCGTGAATGATGCACCAAAACCTTCTAGAATCCTCTAAAGAGATCAAATAGACTTCGGTTTTGAAATCGGATAAGAGCATATAACAATATATTGTTTATATTTTAACTGACATCCGTCAGCCTATGAGTGGGCCGACTTAGTCACCAGGTCTGATTTTTTGGGAATTTTTAGGGTTTCTGTCCACTATACATAGGACCTTCGAGGTCCCATTTATACCACCCCGAAATTCGTAGCTTTCTCCCAGCTCAAGCAATCACATTTTTTATGTCTCGGAGTATTTGATTTGTGTTTATCGTTTTCCATTGTTGTTGGGAAACATATAAATTTGCATTAAATCCTGAGGTTTCACTCTTTTGTTTACAGCCGATAGAAACAAAGTAAAAACATTTAAGAACAAGAGTCATATCCGTGAAGGTTTCTATAATCTCGATCAACTGCAAAACATATCAGTTTTATTTTATTGTTTTGCATTTAAATTCGCCCAATAATATGACAGCCTGCTTCTACTGACATCAACGTTTAATCATCTATATTAATCGTTGGTTGTTATTGAAAACGTTTGAATATTTAATCATAATTTCATATATATTATTTGTTAGTTGTATGTGAAAACTAGGCAAGTTTCGAACTTGGTCGTCGTTTTGACATTTTTAAAATACTGGTCAAATGAATATGCACAAATACGTACTAGTTACATGATTATACATAATTGATTAGTAAAAATGATTATTTTTGTAAATATCCTTTATATAAAAGTTATTACTTAGTACTATAAAATATAACTTTACATAATTTTCATTTACGTTTCAAAAGAAATAGTCAATGATTATTTTGCATAATCATCATTCATTTAACTTGACTTAGTATGTTGATTGTTTACAAAACTTGTAATTTGCTAAGATTATTTTACTTATATCAAACATTTAAGAATATATTATTTCACAAATAACGAATTTTTTTAATTATTTAGAATTTAGATTATGTTTAGCGTACCATAGCTAGCTAATAAGATATGTTATTTTTTGAGTTTTATAAGTTTTTATGTTTGACAAACTAAAAAATAATTTATAAACTAGTTTTTTAAAATAAAACACCATATAATTTAGACAAAACTGCAAAATTAGTCCTTATGGTTTACGAAAAACTTTGGATAGGGTCCAAAAAGTTTTCAACTTGCATGGGAGATTCAAAATCAAAAATAAAAAGAAAAATAAAGAATTATCCTAATATTATTTTACTTCAAAAATAAAAAGAAAAATAAAGAATTATCCCTTACCCCCACCGTTCTCTCTCTCTCTCTCTCTCTCTTAAAGAAAAAGTCAAGAAAAATCCTGACCTATCTTCTTCTTCCCTTTCTTAATTAGATTTTCTGGGTTTCTGAGTACTTGCAAATTGTCCAAAATTAGTACTTGCTCCCTCTTCAAATCGTTATAACCAACAAATACACAAAACACATATATATATATATAGGAGGTGGAGAAGGTATCAGATACTGAGTCAACTCTAATATATAATCAAGATAGAGGGAAAGGATCGAGACCAGTTTGCCTCCTTGATATTCAACTAATTTTGGTTCTGCTACTTCAATAATTGCGCAATTTAACCATATCCTGAAGAAACTGATTATACAAGAAGCACATTCAGATATGTGATTGTGTTTTCTCCATTTCTCTGTCTGGTCCTCGCTGCCCTCTACCACCATTGGAAACCTCCTTGTCCCTTCATATTCTCCATTTTTCTCTAGCTCTGCTCCTTCATTGACTATCAAATCCACAAAACTGATGAGTATTTCTTGTTTCAGGTGTATTTCTTGAGTATTTTAGGTTTTCGATGGGTGTGGTGAAGGATTTCATTGTTTCCCTCAAGGAAATCTCGATGGCAGCCACTGTGTCTGCTTAAGCGATGAACCTTGAACCTTCGCCTGACATCGAAGCTACCTTTCCATCGCGGTTTCTAGAGTAATGATTTACCGGTTTCTGGAGTAATGATCGAAACATCTCTACTTCTTTCTCTAGTTGCTTTCTTCCATAATTGATCAGAAAATCACTAGAGATTTCTGGAAGATTGATTTTATCTTTGAGTCCCCTCTTTGCTCTCTTGATTCTAATAGTTGGAATGGTAGAATCAAGGTTACCTTTTGAATCAGAGTGAATGGAGAAAACGGGTCTTGTTGCTAGTGATGAAAGTCGACCCAATAACCTTCATTCTCAATTTCACTAACTTGAAACACTGTCTCCTCCTATTCCATTGCTATGAACCACCATTGATGGAACCCTAGAATCACTCGACTGAGTGATTTCAAATAGTGAAAATGACTGCAATTTGGTCAAGAAAAAAATTTAAAGAAGTAAGACACAGGTAGGGCGGTTGTGGTACGTGGCTTTAGGGCGACAATAGTCATGGGTTCAAGGCAGTGGCGGTCCTGTGGTGGTGGATGGAGGTCATGTGTTTTAAGTTTTTGTCCTTTTTTTAAGAGATACAGAGAGGGAGAGAGGAATATGGAGAGAGAGAGAGAGAGAGAGAGAGAGAGATAAAGAGAGAGAACGGTGGGGGTAAGGGGATAATTCTATTTTTCTTTTTATTTTTAAAGTAAATTAGTATTAGCATAAATATAAAAAATACAAAAAAGAAAATAAAAGGGCATAATCGTTTTTTCAAGTTTTTTTTGGACCAAAATCACAGGAAGTTTTTGATTTTGGATCTCCCATGCAAGTTGAAAACTTTTTGGACTCTATCCAAAGTTTTTCGCATACCATAAGGACTAATTTTGCAGTTTTGTCTATAATTTACTATAGAACTACCGGCATTTGACTGAAACATTGAAACATGGAAAGAAAGAACTTAGTTTCTATGCAGATTTTTAAGGCAAAAAAGATTATTCTGGATTTCTGGTGGATAGTTTTTAGGCATATTAAGAGTGCAACTAGCCAACTAGTGAAAACTGTATAAAATTAGGAATCAACAACCATATGCATCGCATTTGCAAAATAAAGTTGGAATCAAGAACATAAAGGTGAAAAACCGGAACATTTCTGAAGATTGAATACCAAATATACTGATTTTAGAAACTCTATAACAAGCTTCTTAACTTTTATTGAGAAAACACAGTGACAAGCACCCTTAATCCTTACTCCAGGAAGTAAGCACATTCTTGCACTGCAATGAGGCCTTCAGCAACATCAGACCCTACAAAGTAAAACACTTCTTTATATATGCCACCACTTTATATTTATATACAGCGGAAATTTACTAGTTAATTTATTCAAACAGATTTCAACGCCACAATTTTATTACCAAAGCATGCATTATATTACCAAATGGTTTACATAAATTGGTAAAACATTAATAACACATTGGAAAATAGTTACAAGAACCGATGAATTTGAAACTTCATTATATTAAACAAGCTATTATTAGCCGATAAAGAAATAAGCAATATATGCAACTATGCGTAGCACAGTAAGAAACAGCAGCACATACCTCTTTCATCTCCAAAGAAATCACCTTTTCCTCAAGACAACCAATTTCCTTCACATTGAACTTATTCAACATAGTAAGGCTGGATATGGTGGACATTGGCTTCACCACCAGATCATCCGAAACCATGTAAGTCACCACCTCCTTCACAAAACCACCACCCTCCGCCGTCCCATTCAACATACCACCACCACTGACAAAGGTCAACTGAGTGCTCATGTGATAATGTCGGCACCGAGGACAGATAACATCAGGATCATCAGTTACATTGGAATAACAACTATGACATCTGTAAAACTTCTGGGCCATCGGAATATTGTGATCATTGGGTGTTAGCAAAAGTGGGACATGAGCCCCATATTTCACGGTTTTGGGGTTCAAAACGGAATTTTTACTTCGGTTTGGTTGCATATATGTATCACTCAGGTTCTCGATGCTTTCATAGAGGTTTCCGAGTGAGCCCACCATCGAGGTCTTGTTGAGAAGCTTGATCACAGTACCAATAGGAAGAGAAAGGATGTGGAAGAGGAAATCCACGAACTGTTTGTTGGCCTCTGCAAATAAGACTTTCTTTGCTTTGGTGTCGATCAGAAGCTTCACGCTTACTTCTGATGATGAAGAAGAGGCTGACATTATTGCTTCTTTCAAGGGGATTTGCTTCTTGATTTGAAATTGTAAATATTAACTCTTTGTTTATAAACATGATGATGAGTTGGGTTAGGAATATGAAAAGCAATCGTTTGATGAGCATAAATTATATATGGGGTCTTTTGGAATTCAAATAACGTATACAATTACTGTTTAACTTTTGAAGGTCAAAAATAGTATTTTTTTTTATTATTATTATATGATTGTTTTGAAGCCAAAAACGACATGAAAGGTTTATAGTAGTTTAACTTTTTCCATATCGATAATGGAGTTCATAAAAAATCTGATTGATTGTTCAGAGACAATTTTGATTTTTTTTTTTTTTTTTTTGGCACTGTAACATAAAGATTTCAATTTTTCTCTTTAAGATTCTCTATGTAGCTAGCAATCAGAAATAAACAGAATGGTAAGTAGGTATGATGAATTTTTTCTACCACGCGTGCTTTTGATGGCTGTGAAGTTGTATGATGCGAGGATTAATTTTATATGTAAGATTATTTATGGATTTTTTTTGAATTCCAGGAGCTGGCATAAAAGTTATTGTTTGACTATTGTTAGTCAAATATTGTATTTTTGAAGCAAAAAAAAATGACATGAAAGTTTCAATAATGTAGTTTCAAATTTTCATGAAACTTTTAATCAGACCTTGTCAACTTGGAGTTCAAAACAAATACGATTGATTGTTCAAAGTCAAATAAGAATTTTCTTTGCATGTATTCGGGCATAAAGATTCAAAATTTTCTCTTCAAGATTTTGTATGTTGCAATCGGGTATAAGCATCGTGGTAAAAAGGGGAAAATAAAGATGAATCCTTTTTACACTTGTGGAGAGGAACCTGCTCTTGGTAGTTGGTTGTATATCTAATTAAGATGCAAACAAACGTTAGCAGTTCCAAGGAAGGTCTTTTGAAGAAAAGCTGAAACGATCAAGTCTTGAAAATGCATTTTTGCAAGTGAGAGTAATGTATGTAAGTGAAGTATCAAGAGAAGATTCTACCAAGTAAGGTGTTGGGTAATCTTGATGGGTTAAGTGCATGGAGCGGATCCGGTTATGGGTCACAAATCATGGTCACATATCTGCTTATGGGTCACAGATCATGGAGCTGAGAATTTTAACAAGAGTTAGTCGGGTTTACTGATTCTTTGTTTGACCGAGTATTGATATATATATATATATATATATATATATATATATATATATATATATATATATATATATATATATATATATATATATATATATATATATATATTATATATATGAATGGCAGGTTTTATGGAGACAATAAAGGAGTATGTGGGCTAGATAGTTTGTTATTGTATTTGCTATTTTATTGTATTTAGCATGTAGTCTATAAATAGGTTGATAGTTTTAATTAAATGTGTAAATAGGTTAGATCGTCTATAAATAGGTTAGATAGTTTTCATTAAATGTGTAATCACTTTTACTTTCTTGAAAGTAATATAGTGAGGTCATCCGCAATGCCAATAATCTTTCAATTGTGATACATCAACTTTGCAATGACTACTCACATCAGTGCAATAACACTCATCTTTCAAAAGTGATCCCCACTACCACATCAACAATTACTATATATATATATATATATATATATATATATATATATATATATATATATATATATATATATATTAAATATTAATATTTACTCAATAATAAATAAACATAAATTTAATTATTATCATTAAAATAATATTTTTTAAAATAAAATAACAAAATAATAATAAAGACGGACGACATTTATATGTATATAAATAAGCTTGTATTATATATATATATATATATATATATATATATATATATATAATAGTAAAGATAGTTTAAATAAATAAAATATTAGAATAGAAAAACATTATTTAATATTAAATTTAAGTTTGTAAGGCTTTCTATACTTGAAAGAACAGGTTTTATGTGGCATGCATAATGGAAGATGTGGCATTGCAATTACATTTGCAAGCCACCGATGTGAGTGCTCTGAGAAAAACCAATAACCTTGAGTAATAGTACATGAGAGTCATTATCACGGTCTAAGTTCTAGAGTCTTGGAAAAGGCTAACCATCTTGGTACATCTAAGTGCATCCACAATGACCAAAGGGTTTTTGGTTTAACGGGGGAGATGTCATGGGTTCAAGTCTCACTAGAAGATTTAGGTGGTGTTTAGGATTAAATTAGGAATAGGATAATTAGTCATTTCAAAAAAAATGTGCATCCACAATGTATTGTCAAATTATTATTCATACAACTTAATGTATTTAAATCTACAAAGAGTCAATGAAAAAGATTTAGAAAAATTATTTATTTGTATTTAATGGATGCTTGGAACACAAACAAAAGAACAACTATAAGTTATAACACAATATATAAGATTTGAGTGGAAAACTAATAAAAACATGAAATCAACAAATTAATTAATCTTGTAAAATCGACAACGTGAAGGGCCGGGTTTCTCAAATGTTAGCACCCTACATATATAGAGGTGTGGAGGTTCTTTTGCTAAAGAAATGAGAAAATCGATTAGCCTAAAGGAGCATAAAAGAAAGGGGTGTTCACAATGAGAAAATCGAATGCTTGTGTGTAAGGGGAATTTTTTCATACATTTCAAACAAACTTTGAAGTGTGTTTTTAATTTGTAAAATATACATGTTACAAAGAGATAGTAGCCCATCGTTGAGCATGAAAATCCGGCCTAGAACATAATTTTTTTGCAAGATCCTTACATTTTTATTGAATATTATATATCATGGCAGAAATTTTTGCAATTGTGGTGGTAATTAAATGTTTCTTGAAGATAAGATCATCCTTGTCAATATCTAAAGAGAGTTTTCACCTCTCTTTTGACTGCACCATGAGGTACTCTTTCTTACGGTATTGCTGTGGTCCTGATACCTTCTTATCTTTCCCTTGATTACTACAATACATGCCAAGTCTTGTATATGAATCTTTGTTTGTTAGTTAGTTGGCTTTGTCGTTTGTCAGCTTCTGGACATATATAGGGTCTAACTCATTTGTTTTTTATTACAAAGTGTTCAATTCTGAGACACTGTTGGTAGGCCATAGGCCATTCATCTATATGCTTAATTTGCGCACTTGATCTTGCAAAAGGAAGAAAAACCAGAAGCTATGATTGAAAAACGAAACCACCAAGAACCACATGATCTATAAAAACGACTTCTTGATTGTGTAGTAACTAGTACATTTTTCTTGATTATATATAGCCAGTACGTTAATAATGATTTCAAGCCCAACATGGAATCATTGTTCGATCTCTTTTGCTACACTTAATTATCAGACAGAGACTGCCACATCACCATGTGATGTGAGGGGAATCTTAATTAATTACATCCACCACAGCACAAGCTGTTTCATCAAGAACTCCATGTGGCGCTTTTTCATTGGATAAAAGTTGGTTAGGACTTACTGACTTAGGAATAGTCATAACTGTAGAGAATGTCTATAGAGCAAGCTACGTCGGACCCACTGGTCACGTGGGATTTAGGCTGCCAAATAGGAGTCGTACATGACAAGAAATACTCATTTACAAATCTCTTCTAATCCCTTCTCTACCAGTAATTATCTATCTCCCACGTGGGACTCCATGCCCCACACCATCTCTCCTTTCTAGCAGTGTCTATATAGTTTGATTTGCCACTTCCTTCGCCTCATCATTTCATTGCTTTACCCTATGAACCTCTAATCCCTGTGCTCTCAACAAGAATCCCGTAACTTGTCTGAAATCAAATCCCAAGTGATCACACTTGCTAGCAGAAGATACAAAGTTGGTGAGGATGGGTGACACGTCAGCTTCTTACATACACATGGTAGTAAGCATATCATGCACTATACTGATATAGTTATTAATGAATTTTACTTCTTTATTATATATGGGTGTTATTCGGTGTTCCATATAAATAGGTGCAACATCTTATAGAAAAGTGTTTGATCTTCCGCATGAGTAAAGACGAATGCATGGAGGCACTTTCTAAACATGCAAACATCAAACCAGTCATCACCTCCACCGGTTAGTTATCACCCATGAATCATTTTTAACGTATAATTTGTATGCCAAGATACATGAACATTAATTTCCCTGTAATTACACCAAAATAACACTAGTGTATATTGTCTTTATATATGCAGTGTGGAACGAGTTGGAGAAAGAGAACAGGGAGTTCTTCGAGTCCTATTCAGACACAAGCCATCTTATTCAGAAGATCATATCTGACCATCAAGCAAACAGTTCAGACAGTGATGATCACAAGTAACTTGATATCAACAGATCATGTGTACATTGAAGCAAACATGAATCTTAGTGGATCCATCTGGTTGTGAAGCTGTCACAGTCTTGGAGAGTTTTTTATGGATGGTAAACTATGGAGGATATATGTTTTGTTTTGTATTCTTGTAATGTAGAAAGTACAAATGAAACTAAAATTGTTGGGTCCATCATTTGTAGCTTTCATATGCTTTTTTCTAATAGGAAATCTGAAGCAACGGCCTAAAATAGGTCTCGCATAACATCTCTCAAAAAGCTTATCAAATAAGTTCTTTCCTCATACGCAACTTACACGTGGAAATAGTACATATTTAAAAAAAAAAATCCAGATTTTTTCTACCTAAACGCAGAAAAAATTCAATACACCTATAATAATACAAATCCAATAGATTAATCTATAATAATTCAAATCCAATACATTTACCTATTGAAAAAAAATCTCCTACCACACAATTTTCCAACTCAACTTTATAGCTCCATCTTCTTGCACAACATTGCTTATATTGGTAAACAATATGAGAACAACACTGCTATCATGGGTAAAAAACAAAGTACATTCGTATAAGAGGAGGAAATGAATATAATAATAAACAAATACATGATAGGTATGATGCAATTTCTTACATTCAATCCATTAAAGTATGGCTAAAGTCAAGACAATGTGATTTCAATTATTGGTTTATTATAGCA